ACCTCAGGATCACAAGGCTGTACCCACTGGGCAAAGGCTTTGGCAATAATATCAAAGTCGCTCCTTTGAGAGGACAGTGGTGTTGCTTTAGTTGAATGGTCACGAACTGATCACACAATCCAGCATTTTATACGAGGGAAAAGTTTGTCTTCTTGGAAAATTATTAGACTCGAATGAATGAATTCTCAGTGGCTAGAGACCAACACAAAGCAAATATACGTCACAAGAGGGTAGAGAGGCAGCTTTCAACCAACTATTGGGTAGTAACTGCTTAAGATGTAGATTTAATAGAGGTGTTCAAAATGATGAGAGGTTTTGATAGAGTAGATAGGAACTGTTTCCACTGGCTGGTGGGTCAGTAACCAGGGCACATAGATTTTAAGATAATTGACAAAAAAAAGAAGGGAGATGAAAAGATTTTTTTTTGCGCAGAGAGATGTTACGGTCTGGAATGCCCTGCCTGAAAGGGTGGAAACAGATTCAATAACAACTTTCAAAAAGGAATTAGATAGGTACTTGAATAGAAAAAATTTGCAGGGTTCAGGGGGGGAAAGAGCGAGGGGGAGTGGGACTGATTGGGCAACTCTTCCAAAGAGCTGGCACAGGCACAATGGGCTGAATGGCCTCTTTCTATGCTGTAATATTCTATGATTCTACATAGGTGTCAGCTTACAGTATATTCTGTGAAGCACCTGGAGACGTCTCGAAGTCAGCCCAGTAATATATCCTGAAGGTGTATGGATTTAGGGGGTAGAGAGAGTCCTGATGTCCAGGCGGGTGAGAGGAGACTGATCCGCTCAGCCTCACACATCTCCCTTCTCAAAGTTTCCTTCCTTCCCTCCTTTCTCCACAAAGACATGTAATTTCATCTTGATCCCAGTTACGCTGTTAACTTGGATGGTTTTTCTGGTCAATTATTCCTCAGGCCTGTTCCTCTGGAAAAAGAAATAGGCACTTTATGTAATGTTGTGCCGAGCTGGGGGTGATGTCATCTTACGTATTTCACAAGAAATCCAAGTCAATCATAAAAACAAGTCTTTAATATGAACCATATTCCCTGGAGCAGCTGAGGGATGTGAAAGGGGGCTTGCTATTGGAGATGCACTGCTCATGGCTTGACACTATGAACTGGGGGTGAAAATAAAACTTCTCACTCACTGCCCTCCTTTCACTACCTTACTTTTGAACTGTGAACTTTTAATTTTGAAAGGGCGAAGGTTGGGCCAGATTCCTTACTCCACAGGCCCCTGTTTACCTGGCAGTAGGTAGTCAATCCACGGCTGTGTGTGGGGACGCTGCTGTGCCCAGTTGGCTGCCGCATTTCGCCCACAAAATATACAGTCAATTCACTTTACAGTGTACTCTATGAAGCGCTTTGAGACGTCTCGAAGACGTGATAAGGCGCTATATCAAATGCAAGGATTAGCAATAGTATCAGTGTCTCTTCTCTTCCCCATTGTGTGTGCAGTCAGGAAACTTGCCTAAGGTTTCGCAATATTCAGGAATCGACTCCAGGTCCTCCCGTTTGCGAGGCGAGTGCTCTAACCACTAAACTGCAGGACTCTACAAGTCTCGATTGAGTAAAATCCAGATTTATAAGTGTTTATCTCAACACGTTGGGGGAAATTTTATCTGCAACGTTTATCCCAAATACGAACAGAACAAACTAAAGCTTACAAGCTGAATATGTCTCCTTCTGGATTGTGTAAGAGTGAAGTCACTGAATAAAAACGTCAAGAGTTTAATTTTTCATCTCTATAGCTCTCTTCAACAAAGCTCCAGACTCTAACATCCTTATTTTTTTATTCCTGCAATGGTGTGTTTACTTAACAAGTAGTAAGATTTTTAGACGAGATTATGGATAATGTCTGATTCCTAGGCACGCAGTCTCAAACCACAACACACAGCCACAAAGAGCATCAGAATAAATCACTGGAAAGGTATTTGTAACACACAGGCTGGTGACGATGTTAGAAAAAGGACTAGTGATCCTGACTAGTGAATGTAGATACTCAACTGCTCAGCACCCAATCCTCACCAAATCCACCTTCAGGAGGATTCGACTTTTTATAACGTATTAGACTAAACAATAATAATAATCCTCGCATTGGATACAGCGCCTCATCCCGTCATCGAGATGTTTCAAAGCGCTTCACAGAATATACTGTAAAGTGCGGTGACTGTACATTCTGTGGGCGAAACGCGTCAGCCAATTGCGCACAGCAGCGTCCGTCCCCACAAACAGTTGGGGATTGAGTGACCAAATTATTATTATCATTTTTTAAAAAAAACATTCAAAAGAAGCAAATTAATTCAATAAAGTTTAACAGTGGTTAAATAGAGTTATATAGTTTTTTTTAAAAAAAACTATATATGTCGTGAGAGTTGTTAATGATATGCTGTTTACAATTAGAAAGTTGTATCACCGTTTTATTTTTTCACGATTTATATTTGATAAACAGGAAGTTCTTTACTCACAACAACAGTGCAAATAAAATCAAACATTTTACCTGAATCCATACCCGCCTGGGGAACAATCTATGTTGAGACTTCTTGACTCCCTTGATCTGGCATGTCTAAATATATTAATTAAATGGTTTTCCAAAAGGAAAAAAAAGTGGACCCTCTTTGCAATAAAACGTTGATCGCTTAAACCTGCGGATCTTTCAACTGGTAAAAATCTCTTAAGAGGTCATTAATAGGAGAGAAGGTAATGATTCCCAGGAGGAAACAGGCGGGAAGCGAGTGATGGGAATCGAGCCTTGCCTGGGAACTCTCAACTTGGAGAAAGTGCTTTATTTTTGGGTGTGATTTTTATATCGCTTTAGCAAAAGCCATAAAAAGTGCGGAGGAAGTGGGCCCACTACCTGAGTAGAGCATCCACTTACCCTTTCAGTATAATCAGCCCATTAAATTCTGAGCCTCCTCTCATCTCTGCTTCCACTTTCTCTTTGTTAAAAACAACTCATTTTATGGATCCCTCTTAAACATGCGGATTAATGAGATGCAATGAACAGCGATGCTGAACTAACTCTAGGGTTGAATAAGTGGACCTCTTACACAGTGGAGCCACTGCTCCTGGGTCATTACTGCAATCCGAGGGCTTTAATGGTTTGAGAACTCGCCCCGCAAGCGAGAGGATTCAGGTTCGATTCCCGGGCGGGGCGAAACCTGAGGCAAGTTTCCTTACTCCACACGCCTCCGTTTACCTTGCAGTAAGTAGAAACCTGGTTGTTAGTCGATTGGTGGATCACTTTTCTGGGGTTAATTATCCCTTCGAAAAAATATATGAATTCGGTCATTCAATCCATGACTGTTTGTGGGACACTGCTGTGCACAAATTGCTGCTGAGTTTCTTCCACAAAATACCATTGTAAAAGAAGTTTGCATCAAAATGTAAAATGTGTTGCGTTTAATAAAACTCAGTCTTAGCTTTTTGCCCACAAAATATACAGTCAAGTCACTTTACAGGATATTCTATGAAGCACTTTGAGGTGTGATAAGGCACTATATCAAATGCAAGGATCATTATTATTATTATTATAACAATTAAAGTCTCCTCAAGGTTTTGCAAAAGGATTTTAATGTATAAAGTCACTTTGCCCGGATTATACAGCCTTACGTAAGAACTGGCTATAGGGTGAAAGAAGACCAAGGTCCATCCAGTTTGCCTTCCACCATCCTGGCTTGACATGTCGTGTCCCAAACTACATACTCTATCCCCACAACAACAACAACAACAAGATTCCATTTATAAAGCGCCTTTCACGTCAGGAGGACGTCCCAAGGCGCTGCACAGTTGGGTCATGACCCGAGCAGGGGGGAAATGGTCAGGGGAGGGGAGGGAGCGAGAAGGGGGAAGAGAGTCGAGCAGAAAGCTTATTTCCGAGCAGAAAACTATCTGATTTACGTTTGAAAGAATCCACCCTGATAGTTGATGTTTGTTAGGTCAGGGTATCGCGGGATATGGGTCAAGGACGCGCAATTGGAGTTGAGGTACAGAACAGCCATGATCTTATAAAATGGTGGAACAACAACGACAACAAGACTACAAGGGGAGGGAACAGGCTCGAGGGGCTGGATGGCCTCCTCCTGTTCCGATGTCACTATGTGTGTGGGAGCTTTGAGGGGTCACCTATCATTCAAGACAGACAAAGATGCTGCTTGAAGTCTCGTTAAATAAAACATATCGTCTCTTTCCTGTGTTGCCAATTATCAGAAGCCAACGTGAAGATATCACAGGGGGTGGGAGGGAAGGGTTAATCAATGGGTGGGGGGGAGTGGGGGGTGGGGGGGGGGCGTACATTTCACGTGATTGGATTTTTGGTGAATTATGTCACTAATCTCCTACTGTTCTCTCTCTCTCTGTGTCTGAAACTCCGCTCCATCTCAACCCAACCATTGCAGTTGGAGAGATAAAGATAGAGAGAGAGGGACAGAGGGAGAGATCAGAGTCATTCTCTCCATCTCAACTCTATCTCATTGCAGGTTGAGAGGGGATTGGGGGAGGAGGGAGGGAGGGAGGGAGTGAGTTGAGTGAGTGACGGAAGGCAGGTAGAGAGAGAGGGGGAGGGAGGGAAGAGAGAGAGAGATCAGGGTTATTCTTTCCATCTTAACTCCATCTCACTGCAGTTGGGGGGAGATTGGGAGGACAACTGCGAGAGGGAAGGGAGTGAGAGTGAGAGAGTGACGGAGGGAAGGAGAGAGAGGGAGTGAGGGAAGGAGGGAAGGAGAGAGGGAGGGAGAGAGAGTGACGGAGGGAAGGAGAGAGAGGGAGTGAGTGAAGGAGGGAAGGAGAGAGAGGGAGTGAGTGACGGAGGGAAGGAGAGAGAGGGAGTGAGTGACGGAGGGAAGGAGAGAGAGGGAGAGGGAGTGAGTGAGTGACGGAGGGAAGGAGAGAGAGGGAGAGGGAGTGAGTGAGTGACGGAGGGAAGGAGAGAGGGAGGGAGAGAGTGACGGAGGGAAGGAGAGAGAGGGAGAGGGAGGGGGGAGAGGGGGTAATGAAGCACCAGCAGCCCCCCGGGGAGCCGGCGGTGGAGACCCGGACCTGTCTGCCGTGCTGTGCTTTGCCCCACGGGAGGGTCCGAGTGCCCCCGAGCCAACCCCGGGGGGAGCGGGAGCCGCACACACTGGGGTTCTACCCCGGGGACAAGTTCCCCCCCGGGGGGGGCGGCTGTTACAGCGCGGGGTCGGGGCGGACCCCGGAGCTCCCGTGCGATTACCTGTACTCCAACGGTCAGTCAAGACCCCCAGTGCCCCATCACCCGCACAAGTACCCGGACCCCCCCGACCCCCCCCCGCCGCCCCCTCCGCCGCCGCCTCCGCCTCCGCCTCCACCCGCCCTGAGCGGGACTCTGAGGGGCTTCCGCGACAACACAGTGGGTGAGTGAGTCTCTCTGTCTGTGACTCTGTCTCTCTCTGTCTGTCTCTCTCTGTCTGTGTCTCTCTGTCTCTCTGTCTGTCTCCGTCTCTCTGTGTCTGTGTCTCTGTCTCTCTGTGTCTCTCTGTCTGTCTCTGTCTCTCTGTGTCTCTCTGTCTGTCTCTCTCTATCTCTGTCTGTCTCTCTGTCTATCTCTCTCTGTCTCTCTCTGTCTCTCTGTCTCTCTATCTCTATCTGTCTGTCTGTCTCTCTCTGTCTCTCTCTATCTCTGTCTGTCTCTCTCTATCTCTGTCTGTCTCTCTCTATCTCTGTCTGTCTCTCTGTCTATCTCTCTCTGTCTCTCTCTGTCTCTCTGTCTCTCTATCTCTATCTGTCTGTCTGTCTCTCTCTCTACCAGTTGCCCCTCTTTTTTTGGCCCCAATGAATGTCGGTGACTTAGTGTTGACTATGAACCCAAACCCTCGGCGGTTTGATGTGTTATTTGCTGTCTCGCCCCCCGGGGGTCGCGGGTTTGTGTCGTGTTCCGCGCGGCGCGTCTTTTTTTAAATTAAATACTATTAATGATAATAATGTATTATTGTTGTCATTAAAAGTGCGTTCTGTGTAAACGTAAAGTTAAAGAGATTTCCTTTGTATTCGGAATACTGAGTATTGTGTATATATGTGTATATATATGTGTATATTGTATATGTATATACACACACAATAAATACACACATTTCTATATATATATACACATACATATATATATATAATTTCTGTTTGCCCCCAAATCGCCTGTATCTCACCCAAACTTCGTTTATAACATTTCTGTCGTTGTTCAGTCGGTCTTAATGTTTCGTATGAAGAACAAACACATTCTCTTTCTCTGTCTCTCTCTCTCTCTCTCTTCACCAATTAATTACATTTACCTTTATTTAAAGTAAAAATGCCTATGTTTGTCACAGGTAAAATGTTCCATCAAATAGAGTATTAGAAATGTTTTTAAATACCCGCGAGATTACTCGGATAATAATACTCCCTCCACCTCCACACAATTTATTTTCAAAAGTTTCTTATACCCGATTAAGACATTCTTTTTTTAAATGAAAATCATTCTCTTGAATTAAATTGCAATTTGTTTAAAATTTACCCACAAGAACACATCAGCTTTCCCTGATTAATTTTTTGTCTCAATTATATATGTGTGTGTATAATTATACAATATATATGCCAGTTATATCAAATTTATATACTATAATTATATAATATATATATATAAATTTGAGACAAAAATTAAATGAAAACATGAAATATAACATTCTAAAATCATATACCTTCGGCCTAAATTATAGATCTGTTTAAGTTCTTTACTGAAATACAAAGGTTGTGGACTCCACGGAATAAATCTAAATTGTTCTAATTTTTAAAAATTGTCTGTTCACTAATAAAGAATAATTAATTTGTGTTAATTTCAAATACTGTCAATCAATTATATTTTCTAACGTGTGAGAGTACAATATATCATTAGTTTTTGTAAAGTAATGTTTTTTCGCCCACAAAATATACAGTCAATTCACTTTACAGTGTATCCTGTGAAGCGCTTTGAGACGTCTCGAAGACGTGATCAGGCGCTGTGTCAAAAGCAAGAAATATTATTATTAATATTGTAAACGGAATAAAACACACCCACCGATTGGGAATATTTTGCAGCAAAAAGGACCGCTGGTACAGTATATACCATTTCCCTGACAAAACATAGTCACTATACTTTACAGTAAAACCCTATCAAGCTTTGAGACAACCTGCGGACGTGAAATGGGATCAAATGCCAAGGATTGTTTAGTTATTTATTTTGATAAAACCGTGAAAAAAACATGTGATTTTTACCTCTTTGTTTTGTAATGTTTCTGGAAAAAAAAAGGGGGAAAGTCTTCTTCAGTTTTCTCGGATTAGAAATCTCTTCTTGTCAGAGGAATATAATAATCCTTGCGTTTGACATAGTGCCTTATCGTGTCTTCGAGACGTCTCAAAGCGCTTCACAGGATATTTTTAAGGGGAATATACTCTGTATCAGATATTAATCTGCTGTCGACCTTCCCCAACCATGAGACAACACTGCAGATATAGTTGGGGAGTTATTTTCTGTGGGTGGTGTGGGGGGTTCTCTTTAATCAGTCTTGATGGTTAAAGGTATCCCTTCTGGAAATACAATCAGAATCCCAATCGCATGAATGCTTGCTGTTTGTGGTTACCTACACGAGGTACAGAGGTGTTTATAACCAAAGGCTTTCCTGACAGTAAAGATTTTTATTGCACATATTCTCTTCAGCTTGTGTCAAAAAAAACCACGAGAAACTCCTCTGTTGCTTTAACCTCTTCCCCATAGAATTGCAAATGTTAGCTTCCGGGTTTATATTATTTTATATACACACACACACACACACACACAATAATAATCCTTGCTTTGTATAAACTGTGGGCGCAATGTGGCAGCAATTGCGCAGAGCAGTGCCCTATAAACAGCCGTGGATTGAGTGACCGAATTATAAATTTCTTGAGGGAATATTACCTCGGGAAAACCATTCCGACAGTCGACTAACAACCAGGTTCCTATTTACTGCTGGGTAAACAGAGGCGTGCGGAGTAAGGAAACTGGCCTAAGGTTTCGCCATGCTCAGGAATCAAACCCGGGCCCTCTCGCTTGCGAGGCGAGTGCTCTAACCTATACGCTACACGACGCCACAATCCCATATATACAGTAAATGACAATGAATAATGACTTACAGATATGTAGGTTTCTCACGAAGAATAGTTATAACGTTTGGCTCTTGTGGGTGGAGTGAAATGGTTTGGTAGTTGGAGTTGAGGGGAGGCTGGACTGTAGACTGAGGGGTTCAACCTGTGTAGAGAAGGACAGGAGCAGATGAACAAGGGCAGGTACCCCTCCATCTCTCTGAATGGAACATTCCAGTGTCTCACACACCTACTAGCTGTCAGTGTAGTGACTGTGCATTTTTAGGGAAACTCCGCATGTGTGAGGAGAATGACCAATTAATTCATCTGGAGGATTGTCAGTCCAGACACCACACTCCCTTTCTCTTTATCAACAGCCTCAACTGAAGTCCCACCTGAAGAACAGGCAGATGGGACCTTGGTTTAATCTTCTCACCCTTAAGGCAGCAACTCCCACACTCGGGGAATGTCAGCCCAGTCTGGGAGCTCAAGTCCCCAATGATGTGAGAATTGAACCGACAACCTTCTGACCCAGGAGGCGAGAGTGCTACTGACTGAACCAAGCAGACACCCATAAACAATACCACAGTACTGTGGCCTCTACATGTATTTAACAGCAGAATGGAATGGCGATAATTCCTGCATTCCCACTCCATAGGATGTGTTTGCCATTCACACCAGTGGCTCTTTAATGGTGGAACGAAAGTAGGTTTCACAGGCTCTCGTGTTAACTGGTTCAGTCTGTTCTGGGGCCCAGACATTTTCCTTCGCGTTCATTTTTTTGTTTGTTTTCTTCCTCCTCCCAAATCTAATGGAAACCCATTTTGTTTTTGGTCAGCCGGGCGCGGGTGTCTGACCCATCACCGTGCTTAAACAGTATCCAAACCAAACTCAGAATTCCACGCATCCCGCCTCCTCGTGGGAATTGTAACACATAGTAAATCAGATGAGGAGTTAAAGAAAAACAAACCAGTAAACACCACGAGTACACCAATTGGAATCTGCGATTTGAAATGGTATTAAATGTTCTGCCATTATACCGTATAATAAACTGTCGGAGTAGGCTGGACGGACTGAACGGTATTATTATTCTTATTACTTATTTTTTTGGTCACCCGGGTGGATGTCTGACACACGCAGAAACCCACCAATCTCTATCCTTCAGTTAGGTCTCCAAAACCAACTAATAATTCCATGTACAGATCCCACCTACACATGTAGTAAAGTATCAGTCAGTGTCATTGCGACTTTCATTCAGTCTCTGGCTTTGAAATTGTCAATGTCTGTGTTTTGTTAAATAAACATTAGCTGATAAAAAAATTACCATATATACTATATATATAGTAATTTCACCCACAAAATATACAGTGAATTCACTTTCCAGTATACCGTGAAGTGCTTTGAGACATCTCGAAGATGTGATAAGGCGCTATTAAATGCAAATATTATTATATACATTATACAGTGGAAAATATATCAATATATATATATATATATATATATATATATCACAATATATACTGATATATTTCCCACATCTTTTCCAGATTGTTTGAAGTAGTCTGTGGATTTTGAGTTCAGTCTAATTCAGTCTGACACATAAGAGTTTCCAAACCAAAAACTGGTTACAGTCGATCTTCGATTCACAGACACATGTCGCCACAATGTGAATTATATTAAGCAAATCTGTTGAACCTTTCTGTATCTCCTCCGTGTGCAGTAATGGTATATGTTTAACTTGTGCTCATTTTAAACAGCGAGTTGTGTAATTTGATTTTTTTTAAAAAAAGGACCTCAGTAATTTTCAGTTTTGGACTGATTTAGGCCATATTGTAAATATTCCGTTTATTATTATTATTAATTAAAAAAACACGAACACGATATTAAAAAATGGCTGGATTGTTCCTACCCATTCGCGTAAAAATCGATTAGAAGCGATCAGAATCGAATCGATCAAGTTTTTCACCGAATTAACGCGAGTGTGTGTGTATATGGGTGTGTGTGTGTGTATATGTGTGTGCATGTGTATATATGTGTATGTATGTATATGGGTGTGTGTATATATATGTGTGTGTGTATATGGGTATATGTGTGTATCTGTGTGTGTGTGTGTATATATATATGTGTGTGTATGTATCTCTGTGTGTGTGTATGTGTGTGTATATCTGTGTGTGTGTATTTGGGTGTGTGTATCTGTGTGTGTGTATGTGTGTGTGTATCTGTGTATGTGTATATGGGTGTGTGTATCTGTGTGTGTGTGTATGTATGTGTGTGTGTATGTGCGTAT